TTTATTTTCTCAAATAAGATTTAAAATTTCTGATGTTGCTAATAACATAACTGACCGTAATATAACATAGCATGCATTATTGTGATAAAAGATATTTATATAGTTTCTTGAGGGCTTTCCATCATTTATTTCTTGGAACTGAATCATATGCCTTTAATAGGTCAATAAAGACACTTTCACACATCTTTAGATTTTTCCAGATATTTTTCAACAATTTGTCTCGTTGTAAAAATGTGATCAATGATCTTCTAGTGGTAAAGCCATTTGGGTCTTCTAGTCCATCATATTGGTCTTCTATTCTCTTTCTAGTGCTTTTGACAAATCTGCCTAGGAGTTTCCTACAAGGGTTGGTTACACATATACCTCTATGATTTGTTCATAATTTTTTGTTTTCTTTTTTACTTTCACTTACGTATATATGTAACATATATTAAGGGTAAGTATTGCGATCCTGAAAATTTTCGAATCTCAGTTTTCAACGGAAATACATGTTTGAGGTCTCCTGAGTTCAAATAACCAAGTGTCCCAAAATGGTCTATGAGTGTGTGTGTGTTTGTTAACAGTCTAGCTCATAAACGAAAAGTAATACGAAACTGATATTAAGTATTTAAGGTTTGTATATGGACCAGATGTGACAGCAACTTTTTCGTTAAAATCGGCTAACCGGAAGTGCCACTTTATATGAAACACATTTTTACAATTTTCTCAAAAACGGCTCTAACGATTTTGATCAAACTCGGTGTATCATTGTATAATTAAGTGGTCTTTAATATCATTTATGTCTTATCCCCGTTGATGTCACTTTACAGGGCTTAAATTCCCAATGTTCATATATGTCTTCCTCTAAAGTACCTTTAATATGGTTTATTTAAAAAAGTTAACCATTTCGCATAATTCAGAGTTACGAAAAAATGTACATATAACATATAATACATATAACTTTTGAAAGAATTTGATAAGTTAATAAAGGAGAAAAATAAAATAAAAATGCAGAAAAACCTGCGTTTTTTAGAAGTTTATGGAATTTCCAAAAAAAAATTGTTAAAATCGGATAATTAGGAGGAAAGATATGGTCTCTAGTTTTTTTCTCTGAAGAGGCGAAAATTTTAATAATTTTTTTTTTTTTTTTAACTTTTATTATGATATTTACAACTGTATTAGTATAAATACATCAAGTAAATTTGTACAGAGAAATATTATTACATGAAACACGCTTGTTGAGAAACTGCCCACTGGTAGCACTCTAATAATTTGTCTACATGAGAAGATCACGAGGCCATCTTCTTTTCAGACGCCTCGGAGGGTTATCAGGAATCGAAGAGGAAGCAAGGTTAGAAACAAGAGGATTCGGATGGTTATGAAGTTTATTATGGAAGGATAGGTATCTGGATTTGGCCAAATCGGAAACATGGAACATTGAGGTTTGATAAATTTAAAATATATTTTTTTAATTGTTGAGACTAAAAAAACTTATTTTCTACAGATATTTAATAAAGTATCTTACCTCAGAACATCTCTCATAAGAAATAAGTACCTAAATTTATACCTTTATTCTCAGTTCTATATTTCAACACTGCAATCACCACCTCCGGAATCAACTTACTCACTGTCTGCATAGATAACTTTTTCAACTAAAAATATCACTAAATTGACAATATTCAACAATGTTGAAATTGAAGTTAGTCATTCTGTGGTTTATAAAAGCAAAGAAAGTTGTGTGGTTTATAAAAGCAGACGGAGTGACTAGATTTTTATTGCCTACCGTCGATATATTAAATAGACATTTCGTAATTATAATGGTCTTAATGACTTGTTATCTGTAAGCTTTAAGCTTTAGCTCCGTTTAAAATGCACTATAAAAAATTTTATAATAGCCCACCATTGCCAGAAAATAATTTCTATTCAAAGTAGATCGGTAAGAGAAAGTTGTGTGTTGCGCGCACCAGATTTTTATATATGGGACATCCATACTCTAATTTCATTTCATTTGGAACTTCCTTTCCAGCTAGGATCTTGTTTATTAAGCTAGTGAGAATTATTGCCACTTTTTCAACATCATATTTTACTAGTTTTAGAGTATATATGTACTCTCCTTCCCCCAAAAAAGATGAATTCGTTTTATTGATTGAATTAAAGATAAAATAATCTAAAAGAAAATTTTTATTTTTTACTTAACTCAAAAATTCATTTTCCATCAAAATTAGCCGCCTATGGTAAATGTCCCATTTTTTCCTCCTGGAGTTCCAGACCTGGGTGCTGATCTCGGTTTCGCTGCCCAATACAAGTGAGGAAGGAACACTGTAAATGGTAATTGAAATGCAGACCAGACTGCCCAGTCCAGATCCTTTCTTTAGGAGAATGCATAAGCCAAGCAGGATCAACTTGTTAACAACTTAAGCGGTCGGTATGATATTAAAAAATAGAATTATATAATAACAATTATCTTCCTATTTTCTTGTTACAATTAAATACAGTTGTTGATGAGTCAAACGGTTAGTCATAATTTCCAATTAAATGCCAATTAATTCTGTATCAATTTTTTATTACCACTTACGGTGATATGGACGTGTATAGGAATGGAATATTTCTATAATGTGTTTTAAAGATTATTCACGCTATAATGTAACCTTAATATTTTGATCTACAAAGATTATTTTGTTCCGAAAACATTTCTTGTTTCAAGTTCAATAAAAAAAAACTGTTATTATTAAATGTTGTTTAAAAATTAACTTTTGACCAAATGAAAAAAGTTTAATAATAAAACAGTTAAATGGCATAAAATATAGTCCTTATACGTGAAATTATATTGATACTCTATTAATAATAATATTATTATTATTATTTTACTTATTGAAGGAGCTTTAATAAAAATCAAAAAGATTTGATATCAACAAGTTTGATTGACGGCATTATGGTTGATACCAATATAATCATTACATGGTCAATTTATTGAAGAAAATCGATACTGCTTCAATAATATTGACCGTGAAAGGAGCCCTTTCGAGGAAAATTTATAACAGTTTAGGAGGAAAATACATGGTGACCTGGCAAACCTGGTATAGTATATAGCACTAGCGGATCCAGGATTTAATTTTGGGGGAGGGGAGGCTTCCGCCCGAAAGATTTTTTTTTCATATACATATGACGATATTTAATTAGAACAAAAAAGAAAGAGATTAACTACCTGTATGAAATGGTGTTTAAGTGGTTCTTGAAGTCCTATTAAATGTAATTACACGAACAAGAATACTTTAAGAGATAGTTTTTAATATTTTTTTCTGTAAAACATGTTTATATTTTACCATTTTGAGGGAGGAGGGGGCTTCAGCCCGAAAGCTCCCCCTCGTAGATCCGCCTGTGGTGTAGTACAGTCAATTAGCTATAATCAATAATATTAATATAAAATATCTAGTTGAAGTTTAATTTGTTACGTTATTGAGGAAAATAATTTGAAAATTAACGTTATTTATACAATTGTTTTAATTCCTATATAAATCAAATTAAACTTATCCATATATGTATATATGAAGTTAAATAATACCAGTCTACAGTTGGTTGCCTTGAAAACGTTCATATGAAAAGGTTAAACCAGTGTCTAAATATTCGAATAATCCGTTAGAGAAGTCAGTAGATTTATAACCGCTCAAGATATAAGTAGCATATGAATTTTAAATCATATTATTACAAATTTTTATCACATTGAAGGAGAGGAAACCCCAACTCAACTAGAATTCTATGAATCTTTTGCGTTTTTTAGAGAATATGTCGTCAAATAAAGTAATCATAAATATACGAGGAACAATCCTTAGAGGTAGATGTACCACAGGTGGATTTACGGGGGAGGGGAGCTTTCGGGCTGAAGCCCTCCCCCCCAAATTAATAAAATTTAGCCATGTTTCATAGAAAAAAATATTAAAAACTATCTCTTAAAGTATTATTGTTCGTGTAATTACATTTTATAGAACAACAAGAATCATTTAAACATCATATCATATTGGTAGTTAGTTTCTTTCTTTCTTTTTTCAAATTAATTATCGTTGTATATATGAAAAAAAGCAAGCTTTCGGTTTGAAGCCCCCCAAAATTTAATCCTGGATCCGCTAGTGAGATGTACTAATGCTTCTTGCATGTTCTTGTCCGTCTAGAGAGCAAGTACTGTCACTAATTAAATTATAGAGTGTGAATGTGCTCTCTGGAAAACTATTGTAAATGTCCTTAATTGTGACAAATTGTAATATTTCTGAATAAATATATATAAATAAATAAATTGAATCTTTTTAAGAAGGGTTTGGTCTGTCCGTGTTCAGTTAAAATCTGTGTCAGTTTGTAATTTGTAGATTTGAGTAAGTTATAGTTGCTTTTAATTTTGGAATAAATCTGTGCAAACTGGATGACTTTTCTGAGTGAATCCATCGTTCTTTCCATCTTAAAATTATTCCCAAAAGTGGCGAGAGGCATCCGAGCTGGTCCAGTCAGTTACTGCAATGCAGCTACTCACGTCGTGTGACTACATTATACAAGCCATATGCGAGTAGGTCAATAACTTGCATCCGAGTTACTACGACATTTTTTGTTTTGACTCGCCACTCGCCTGTGACTCGGACGTCAACTTGCACATTAGAGATAGATGTACTAATGCTTCTTGCAAGTGGCAGTAGCTCGTACGCCTTTGATAATGTCGGTGCTTTCTTTTAGTTTTGCTGTAAGTGTTTTCCGGTTATTTTTGTTTCGGGTAGTGGTTATAAAAGCCAACAAATGGTGGACAGATTGAGTAAACAACTAACCAAAATATAAAATTTGTGCAGTTATATAAGGACCCAACCAACTTATGAAGTTCTTTGAATATTTCTTTAAATATTGTGTTTCTCCTTTCCTTTGCATCCAATTTCTGACACAAATCGTTCTGTTTTCCATCGTCTTATTTCCAGTTCTTCCAGCTCGAAGTATTTCAGCACTAAGTATTTTGAGACCGCTTTTATTACAGCATGTATTATGATCAGACCATTCCTTTGTGACATTGTACAAGAACACAGATCATTTGCGAAGAACTGATGCAAGTACACAGGTGCTGTCTATTTTCATGCCTGCAGCTCGCACTTGTGTCACCGGGCCAGTTGAGTCGAGCTATTGTCACGCCAGTATACAGATGCAGTAGCTGTCCACAGTCAGGTGAGCAGCTCACATTGTGAACTAGACCTTCAGGGAGTGTTCGGGTCCACCGGCACTATTAAGAACGTTAAGAGTATCCACTGATCGAAGCGGGAATTACGATTCTATACTAAGACTTTTTTTTTCTGGGATAACGTAATTTCCAAATATATAACAGATTTGTTCATATACCCAGATAAAAAAACAGTTATTTATTTATTTATTTTTTTATTTAAGCTTTTTATAAGCTAGGGATTCGGAAGCTGGAGGTTTTTAATCACATAATATAACGTTATCCAGAATCGCTGAGATAAATATTACATGTTTGTCTTGGAATGCTGAATATTAGGCATGTTTTAAAAATAAATTATGACGAAGATTTATTTATATTTTGTTCAGTGTGAATAATTATCATCAATGATAAAACTGTCACATATTTTGTAAATGCAAATATAATAATTTTATTTTGTATTTCATAGTTTCTAAACAGACAGAAAAATAGTTGATAGGATTAAAAAATTTAATGTGAAATTCCTCCGTTTCCAATAATAATGATTTAATTTTCTGTAACACTGAACGTTTCCAAATAAGTTAATATTCGTTCGTGGCTGTGCTAACTATTTCAAAATTATCTATTTATTTGTATTTCCATAAGGTTTTGTTGCCGCATCATCGCAAATTATTGATCCCAGGAATAAAAAAAAAACGAATGGAAAATTACGTCTGCCGAGGTCTGATTATAATAAATATTGATTGCAATTACAATTAGTATAAATGAGTAATAATATTTCTATATTATTATGTATCAGTTACATAATTAGCTATATTGCAAGATCAATGACTTGTTGTTAGAGAATAAAATCTATCGGATAATTAGGTTTTGAAGTGTAGTTTGTCAATGAAAACTCATCCCTAAGCGAAACAAGGTGATAGAAATTAATAAAATCGATATTAGACCATCTGGATATCAACCTTCACAATCCCCGAAAATATCAAATGAAACTAAAGTCAGTAGGTGTTAGATAAAAAAAATTAACCTCATAAGAACTATAAAATAACTTATATTTTCACTGCCGGCCATGTTTCAAAGCCATTATATTTTTATCAATCCGGTGCCTTATTTGTAACCATTAAATTAAATTAGTAAGCCATACATCATTTGGACACCATTTTCCAAATTTCCTCCAAATTTGGGCCAAATAGAACTGCCTATTGGTTTTTGAAATTTAGGTATATCTGAGAGAGTGCTACCACTGGGTAGTATCTCTTTAAGCCTGTACATGCCATTATTTATATTTGCGCATATTTACTAGTTGTATTTGTATACAGTTGTAAATTTCATTAAATAAACAAAAAAAAAAAAGGTATATCTAGGAAAAGAGGTTGGCTCCTCCGTTAGCAAAAGTATTTTTCGGAAGTAACGTATTTAATTTGATAAAATGGATACCTAGTTTTTCGTTTTTTTTTTTTTTTTACACTAACTTCCCTCTAACTTAGAGCCATATCGAACGAGCTGATTTCGAAATCTAGGTCTATCAAGTAGCCGAAAACGAAAGTTGTGGATGGAGTTTGATGAAATTTATGCATAGTTGAGCATTTGTTTCTAAAATCCATAACATACGTCCAACTTTAAGCCTAAACGAACGTGTAGTTTTGGGTATATAATTGTTCTAATGAAATTCGTTTACGCATATGTAAATGGAATTCGATAAAATTGATTCATTTTCTCACAACATTGCTGGAAGTTTTGATTTGAATCAAACGAACTGTTCTTAAAATTACACTATTCAAAATTAAACAATGTATACAATTTCTTCAGTGAAAATATATAAACAACAAAAAGTAAAAACATTTGGAAAAAGACAACATAATTGAAATGAAAAGAAAAATAGGACTCAGAAAAAAAAAAAAAACATTATAAACATAATGAATTGATTCTTAAAACTAAAACTTAAACAATTTAAAGAACCATTCACTTCAATCGAAATTCGATTCATAGAGTTTTAGTTTGTCCTATATAGCCTCGTTATTTTGAAAATTTGAAAAAGGAAAAACGTGCAGTAAAAAACCAAAAATGTTCAAAATCGTGCAAAGTGTAAATCCAAAATACGTAAAATTCTGTAATTAACTCTTAAAAACGTGTAAAATCATCAATATTGTTTAAATTTTAACATTAATACATCGAAATCTTACCAGATGTTGAGTTAATCGAGAGATAAAAAAAAAATTGGGATGTAACATTGAAAATGAAATTCCAGATTATAATCAACTATTACAACTAATAGTTTGTTTTCTACGTGGATCGTAAGATAATTTGATCACAAAATTGAGAAAAAAGGTGGCCTTCAAAACTATTAGCCGTTTGGAGTGACCTGAACCACCAAATTTGATAAAAAGAGGTCTGTACCATGGACTATTTATTTCATGATTGTCGAGCTTCATTTTGAGATATGAAAAGTAATTGGAAAAGAAGATATTTGAATGAGAACAAGGAAGAGGCATGGCGTATTTCAGATGGCAAGCAATTCCATCTAAGGAATGATACATATCTTATTGATAATTAGCAAGATTTATTATCGTTATGAAAAATTAAATTATTTGTTCATATAAAAAATATATTTAAAAAATCTGACTAAGAATGTTCATTGGGGTCATCTCACAATACATAGCAGTCACAAATGATTGTGTAACAAGGAACATTTTTATTACCAGTCCATTATCATACTTTTATAATACGGATATATTTCCATTATCTAAGGAAATGATTCGGACGTATGCCCATTATAGTGTACTGGTTCAATTGGACCGATATCAAACCGACCTTAAGGCTTATTGTGAAAAATAGTAAAAGTAGTTATTGTGGAAAATAATACTGATAATTAGAGACCGGATTTCCATGTTATTGCACTTTTTATTCGCTTGCCTGAAAAACCTCCGGACCCGAATATCTATCCGTTTCAGAACCTGTAGAATACCATATTTAAATTTTATATTTTGCACGAAATTGGGCGTTTTACCGTTTTTGGCTTAAATTGCACGATTTTGATTTTTGTTGCATTAAATTGCTCATTTTTGCACTTTTGTGCTAAATTAAACGATTTATAAATACAAATGTAACTGAGTGTGTTAATATTTATTTTACTTTTCATTTTACTATAGTTTTCAAATTAAATTCATTATTCAAAATAGAAAAATATAAGGAATAATTCTGTGTGAAGCTATAGTATTGGATAATAAAGTTGTAATAGTTGATTATAATCTGGAATTTCATTTTCAATGTTACATCCCAATTTTTTTTTTATCTCTCGATTAACTCAACATCTGGTAAGATTTCGATGTATTAATGTTAAAATTTAAACAATATTGATGATTTTACACGTTTTTAAGAGTTAATTACACAATTTTACGTATTTTGGATTTACACTTTGCACGATTTTAAACATTTTTGGTTATTTACTGCACGTTTTTCCTGATTTGTACTCCATGAAAATCCGATCTCTACTGATAATAAACATCATACTCGATCAAATAATTCAGCCTTAATATCTTATTAAATTCCTTCTTCACTTCATTCCGTATTTTCCAATTAGATCAAATTAATTTATTTGCATAGTCGGTTTGTAATGATAATTTAAAGCTAAAAAATAACGAAACTTTAAAGGCAGTGTTTTTCAAATTTCGTTTTCCATTGACTTCACAGATATTGATTACCAACGTTAAAGAATGGATATTTGTTTGTATAACAGAATAAAAGTTGGCTCTTTAGCTCCATTGAAAGATGTATATTTGGTTATAACAATTGATCACACTAGTTGGTCTGTCTCTTGAGCGAATATAGAGAAAAAACCTCGACTGTAACGATCTTCCTGAAGCCGTGGTCATTTCTATAACAATATCTTTTTTTTTTTTTAATCTGTTTATTGAATAATAAAATAATCAGCCACTGCTGGAGGGCTATAAGCATTAGGGCTAAAAGTTCTCATTCATACAATAACAATATCAATTCCCAAAAATACGACAACCTTAAGATAAAAACCAGTAGACCGAGAGAGAGGCACACCGAACCATAATTGTTCCGATTCCCTTCGGAAAAATTAGTTAAAATGAAATAATAATTTTTGAATATTTAGTAGTTGACCGTTGCATTATAAAGGAAGGAGATGGTCCGGGGGTTACGGTCATAAATAGGCTAAATAGTGGTAAAACTATTTTATTGAAAGCCAACGTTTCGACCCGACTTTGCAGGTCTTCATCAGGGCTAGAACGGACAAGATACAAAAAGATAGAGAATGTGGCAATTACATAATATTTAGACATAATTTATAAACAATGTGAATAAGCTTATTAAAATTATGAACAGTAAGTAGAGTAAAATATGGACTAAGTAAGCTGAGTAACAAGATCCTAAACTAAAGTAAATAGATGCTAACAATTGTAGTGTAATATATAATAAATGAAAATGTGAGTATAATTCTACAAAATCTACAGGAGAAAAATAAAATTAGAGACTTACAGGTGTGTTCATCTAGGAAATCCAGTTCTAAGTGAAAATCCTAGATGAACACACCTGTAAGTCTCTAATTTTATTTTTCTCCTGTAGATTTTGTAGAATTATACTCACATTTTCATTTATTATATATTACACTACAACAATTGTTAGCATCTATTTACTTTAGTTTAGGATCTTGTTACTCAGCTTACTTAGTCCATATTTTATTGTACTTACTGTTTATAATTTTAATAAGCTTATTCACATTGTTTATAAATTATGTCTAAATATTATGTAATTGCCACATTCTCTATCTTTTTGTATCTTGTACGTTCTAGCCCTGATGAAGACCTGCAAAGACGGGTCGAAACGTTGGCTTTCAATAAAATAGTTTTACCAATATTTAGCCTATTTATGACCGCAACCCCCGGACCATCTCCTTCCGTAATAATAATTTTTGTTAAAATTAAATCCATATATACGTTACGACAGCCTAACGCGGTTTATTATTTAGTGAA